GGCGGTTCCCCCTGCCACTTTCCCCACTTCCGCGGGGGAGCAGCACACCGCCGGCCAGCTCTCTCGGGGGCTGCACAGGTGTTCCTCTTAGATGTTCCTGGTGCATGTTGTCTCTCTCCTCCTTTATAGTCCTCTTCCACCAATCCCAACTCTGCTACCCACAACGCCGAGTACGCTGCTCTCCTCCAATCAGGAGCAGGTCCTGCTGTTTATTGGTTGAACTGGAGGCAGCTGTGTAGAAGCTGTTTCCTCCTCTCCCAGCGCCATATTGTGGGAGAGCAGATGCATAGAATAAGTCTTAATTCGAGTAACAGTCTAGTCCCAGTTGCTCCCCACACCAGTCCAACTCTGTCCAGCAATTGTAGCTTCAAATGTCTTCTGAACTTGAGACAACTATGAACACAGGCCACATAGTCAGCTCGTGTGGGCTCTCCCCTGTCTTGGATCTCCAAGTTCAATGTTCTTTCATTACACGCAAACTCTGCTTTTCACATCACCATTTGAGGAACAGGCACTTTTGTCAGATGTTGGGAATTTGGATTAAAACTTTTTTTTAAACAGATGTATTTCTCTATTTGAAAAGGCAGAGAGAGTGAGAGTGAGGGAGAAGGAGAAGGAGAGGGAGAGGTAGGGAAAGACACAGAGAAAGATCGACCATGTGCTGGTTCACTCCCTAAATGGTCACAATGGCCAGGGCTGGACCAGGCCAATGCCAGGTCTTCTATATGGGTAGCAGGGGTCTAAGTACTTGGGCCATCCCAGGCACACTAGCAGGGAGCCAGACTGGAAGCAGAGAAGCTGGGACTTGAACCGGTGTTCCAACAAGGGATGCTGACGTCACAACGTGGGCCTCCTGGATCAAAACTTTCTATGTGGTTTCTTTATCAATAAAGCCAGATCACCACAGTCATTGTGGAGGCTATGCAAAATGCAATGCAGAAAGCGTTCACCCAACATCACGATAGAGTACAACCCAGATTCTATTAAAAACCTTGCCTTGTGCGCGGAGAGGGCTGAAAGGATGTACGAGGGCTCCACTTCTGATTCCAGCTTTCTGCTAATGTGCACCCTGGGAGGCAGCTCAAGTACTTGGTCCCCACCATCCATGTGGGAGACCCAGATGGAGTTCTGGGCTCCTGGCTTTGGCCTGGCCCAACCCTGGCTGTTGCAGGTATTTGGAAAGAGAACCAGCAGATGGAAGATACTGCTCTCCTTCCCTTCTCTCTCTCTCTCTCTCTCTCTCTCTCTGTGTCTCTTTTTCAAATAAAATGAAAATAAACCCTCCAGTTTTCAAAATCTTAAGTTGAAACACTGTAAGTCAGGGACCACGTGTACAGAAAATACACAGTGGTGGGATTCTGAGTGATGTTTGTTTTTTCCTTATACTTTTCCTTTAAAATCTGATTTTCTATGAAGAGAACATACTGCTTCATAATCTGAAAAATCATGACTTAAAGACAGATGATGCAAAGAAAACAAACTTCAAAACATCCATGGTTCAAAAAGATTTTGCGATGAAGACAATTTTTCTATAACAGAACAAATGTGCAAACTCTATATCAAAATTCAGGTGCTAGAATTCAAAGAGTACTTAGAGCAATGAATGTTAATTACTCTAATGTTTATTTCAGACCATACAATATGGAATTTAATGTACATGGGGATAAGGGATGGGTGAATTCCATATTTCTAACTTCTATTTGATTTCTCTTTCAGTGTGAATTCAAGATGCCTGTGTCCCACATGGGAATGCCTGGGTTTGGTACCTGGTTCTAGCATCTGATTCCAGTTCCCTGCAAATGCAGACCCTGGGGTTGGGGAGTTGGGGGTGGGGTGGTAGCAGTGATGGCTCAAGTAGCTGGGTCCCAGCCACTCACATGGGAGATCTGGATGGAGTTCCCAAGTTCCCCTCTCTTTTCCTCCCTCTCTTCCACTCTCTCTCTCCCTGCCTCTCAAAAAACAAACAAGCACATAAAACACCTCGCTTTAGCTTCAACGTCCTTGAATGGACTCATAGTTTACTATGGCATTCCCATTACCATGCTATTCTGTTTCCAAATAAATGTCATTATTCTTTGGAGAATTTCTCTGTGTTTGTTATTCGGGTTGATAGGACCAATACACAGAGGCCATCTGTGGCTTATTTACATACAGATTTTTATGCCACACCATACCAAAATATTCTTTCCCAGGAATAAAGATTTTAATGACGAAGTTTGGAAGAAAAATTAGGAAAATATTCTTATACTCTAAAGTTTCGGAAGACTTTGACAAGTAAAATAGGAAGCCCAGAAGCCATTTTTAAAAACTGTACATTTACTAGGATGTATAAAACAAATACTTTATTCAACTAAGTTAAAGAAACAAAATTATTTTATCAACTCAATAATTGCATAAATATTACTCCTCAAACATTATTCATAAAATATCTTTGTAAACCAGGTTTGAAATGAGACTTTATCAATTTGATAAGGGAAGCGTTCCACAAAAAACGAAAAATAAGTGAGGCCAGTGCTGTGGCACAGTGGGTTAAGCCTGCGATGCTGGCATCCCATATGGGCATTGGCTTCAGTCCTGGATACTCCACTTGTGATCCAGCTCCCTGCTAATGCACATGGGAAAGCAGTGGAAGATGGCCCAAGTGCTTGGGCCCCTGCACCCACGTGGGAGACCTGGATGTAGTTCCAGGTTCCTGGTTTCCACTGTAGCCATCTGGGGAGTGAACCAGCAGATGCAAGATCTTTTTCTCTGTAACTCTGCCTTTCAAATAAATAAATAAATCTTAAAAAAATAAACGCGCTATATGTTAGAGCACAAGAAAACCACACAGAGAAAATACTGTTTCTATTTCAAGCTCAAAATAATTAACGGGCAGCATTTAGAGTACAGCAAGGTTTCTGGGTAAAAAGACTATTTAAATACAATAATTATCAATGGCTTTCCTCTACATGAATAGTGAAACAATGAAAAGGAAAAATAAAGGCCTACAAAAGAGTTGAATGAGTGGGAACGAGAGGTTATCGCACAGACAGGTGGGTTGGGTGGCAAGCACGTATGTTCTATGTACAGGGAAGATGGGTGTAAATGCAACTGACTTGCATCCTAAAGAGCATTCCGTGGTCCATTACTGGACATCAGACCCTAACCTCAGCCCCTGCCCCCAGGCCCAGGCTCCTAAGCCCTGCCCCAAGACCCCAGATTCAACCATGCCCTGTCAGTCTTCCCTAGCTCCGCCCTGTAGAATATTAGCAAGCCACATCCTCAGCCTCGCCCACCGTTCTAATTCTTTCCCCTTTCCCCTCAACCCCTGCGAAAACTAGCATTTCTCATCTACCTGCGGCTACAGCTGTTCACCCCCGCCCACTCCCGGCTGCTGCCGTCAGTCATCCCAAGTCCCCACCTCCCGAGGCTCCGCCCCTTACGCCGCTCCCGGCGCCGACACTAGGGTCAGAGGTGGGCGTCTGCGCATGCGCGAGCCGGCCGCCATGTCACCCTGCGCCTGTGTTGGGGCTGGAGGTAAATTTTTGCCTCGGGCGGTGTCTTACCTGGGCTCGGCCCCGCCCGCCTCCGTGTCTGGGTCGCTGGAGGCCGAGGACTGGGCCTGGCGGGGCGCAATCTGCATTTCCTCTCGCAGACCCGGGCCCGGGGCTTCCCCTGAGGGCTCCGTCAGCTCCGCCGCCGCCGGTTCCCAAGTTCCCGAACCGGGACATCTGGGCTGGGGCCGGCAGACGGGGCGACTCCCGGGCAGGGCGGAGGTGCAGAAACCCCGTCAGCATCGTTCTGGGCGCTGGTGCGTGGATCCCCGCAGGTCTGGGTGAGCAGCGGGGGGCCCGGGCGCCCGGGGTCCCCACCTCTCCACCCCCCACGCCCCCCGCGGGCACCCGTGGGCTACGTGGCGGCCAGGTGCACGCAGGCGAGCTGGCTGTAAATACACTGTTCCCCGGCCTCGCTGCCTCACACCCCCTGACACGTTTTCATCATTTGTGTAAAGACGCCTTAAATTGCACACGGATACTGTGGTCGTCGGCCACGTGCAACTTTTTCCATTTTTTTTTTTAGTTCTTTGCACATTCCTTTTCTTGTTTCTTTGCTACCCTTGCCAAGACCTCCAGTTTCAAGTAGAATAGCTTATAACTTGCATCCTTGCCCGCTTCCTGATCCGAGAGGGAACAACTGTCTTTCGTCATTAAATAGGTGTTTGCTGTGGGTTTTGATTTTTTTGGGGGGAGGGAGGAGAAGGGTAATAAAAAACCTTTTTTTTTTAATTTTATTTTTTATTTTTTTAAATTTTTTTTTAAGCCCTGCTGGGCTAACTCTTCATCACCAGTAGAGACTGAAGTAGATTAGTCACTGTTTTGAGTCAAGGGCCTGAGTCACATCATCTTTTTCTATTATTGTCTTGGATCATTTCAATCAGTGATTTGATTTTTAGTCATCTTTCATTTCCAGGATGAAACGGACTTGGTGATTTATTCTCATTACTCATCTCCCAGCGGTACTAATTTTACTTTGCACTCCTGTGCATGAGAGCACTCATATTTTTTGAGTTGTACCCTTCTGGCATTGGAACTACTCGAGAAAACACTCTCCCCCCGTTTATTTGTTGAACTTGCCTGTAAAAACACCTTGCAACTTCAGTTTTCTTTGTGGGTGTGTTTTTAAACTACTGCTTTTTCTATAATAACTGGATGTATTCAGATTTCGTATTTTAGACCATTGCTAGAAGTTTTACTACTTGTAGAGATTCATTTGTAATTTTCATATCTATTCCTTTGACTTTTTTTGTTACATTTCCCCAACAATATTTGTAAATTGTGACTCACTTTTATTTCTAACATTTTTATCTGTGCTCCTCAGCTCTTAAAATTGCTGACTTTGCCAATTTAATTAGATTTGCAAAGGATGGATACATTTTTGACTTTTCTGATTTAATTTTATCCTACTTTCTTTTTTGTTTCTAAATCTTCAGGCTGTTCTTTTCCCAATCTCATACCTCTGTGATTAACCCCTTTTTACTGATTTATTTTCTCTGGGAATTGATGATGCTTATAAATATGTATATACTAAACCAGTTGTGGATTTCCATGTTTTCTCAAAGACTTAATTTTCTGCTTCTGCCCTGCCACATAACCAGTCCTGACTAACAAGGTGAATACAAATATCTGTGTTTTTCCTTATCCCTATAATGTGTGGCATTTTAAAAATACTTATTTGATAGAGAGCTAGTCAGATAAGGAGAGAAAGTTGCCATCCACTGGTTCACTCCTGACATGCCTGCGATGGCCTGGATTGGGCCGACCCAAAGCCAGTAGCTGGGAACTCCACCCGAGTCTCTTGCTGGTGTCAGGGACCTAATTACTTGGGCCATCACTGGGTCTGCAGTAGAGGAAGCTGGAGTCAGGAGCCAGAGCTGGGTGTGAGATGCAGGCACTGTGATGTAAGACAAGGCATCTTAACTGGTGGTTATACTTCAGACTTTTTCTGTTTTGTTCTGTATTTTATCCTCTCTGACTGCACATAGCAGAGTGTGGGGAAATACTGCCTATATAAATAAAAAATGAAGGAGCAGGAAGTAAGGGCCTTGAAGGAAATAGTGTTGCCTGAAACATAGGGTATAATCAGGAGAAGGAGCTAAATGATCCCCCTTTAAATAAAACATTTCACTTTTCCGCTCTTAATAGTGCTCAAAATGGCTGTAGGCTAAATTCTGACAATTTAGAACATAAAGGGCCTAATAACAGCCAAGTTATAAATATGTGTTCAGAAACATTCACTGGGAGTTTAGGGTTTGATGACAAATAGATTTGCATTCATATCCTCTTCAGCAGCTTTCTAATTGAGTGACATTGAATGTGTGGCTAATTGCCTCTAGGATTTCCTGTCAAACTGGTTATTATGACATCTGGTTTTCAAAGCTTAATGAGGAATGAACAATCTAAGGTATACAGTTACTCTTACATCATGGTTACTCCTTACAGTAAATAGTGGCATAATTGGGGCCTGTGTTGTGGTACAGCAGGTTAAGCTGCCGCCTGTGATGCTGGCATCCCATATCCAAGTTCTGGCTACTCTGCTTCCCATCTAGCTCCCTGCTAAAGCACCTGTGGAGGTAGCAGGTGATGGCCCAAATGCTTGGGCCCCTGCCACCCACATGGGAGACCTGAATGGAATTCCTGTCTCCTGACTTCAGCCTGGCCCAGCCCCAGCTGTTGCAGCCATCTGGGGGAGTGAAGCGGTGTGTGGAATATCTATTGCTCCACCCTTGCCACTTTTCAAATAAATCAACCTTTTTTTAAATGGCATAATTAAAACATTTATTTTCATTTTATTTTAAAGGCAGACAGAGATCTTTTGTCTGCTGGTTCATTCCCTAAGAGCCTGTAAAATCTGGGGCTGGGCCAGGCCAGAACCAGGAGCCTAGCACTCAATGCAGGTCTCCCACAAGGGTGGCAGGGACCCAAGCATCTGAGCCATCGCCTGCTGCCTCCCAGGGTGCATATTAGCAGAAAATGGTGTCGGGACTCACACTCAGTCACTCTGATATGGGCTGCTCCAAATGGCCACACGATTTTTTTTTTTTTAATCAACTTTCATATATGCCTCTTGTTGCACTGCAGTGGGGGGAAGTGTTGACTTTTTGTTGTTTGAAATTTGTGAGACAGCGCTGCAGATATCACTGTCAGGGCTGATGCGGGTTGAGTATTCTGCCACTGCTGTACCATATGCATTTAGCACGGGGATCACAGCATAGCGGACTTCTCTGCCTGATGCATTTGCAATTCAACAGACTGATGCTTTACTTAAAAAACCAGGGAGCCCTGCAGCTGCACCAGCAGAGGTGGTAGTCAGAGACTGAGCAGTGATGCTTTTTAGCCTGCCTACAGGTGCAAGAAGTTAAGAAATGTTGGGGGTGGAGCCCTCAGAAGCCTGGTGCATAAATTTGACATAGCAAGTGTATATTATGGTTGAAGACACTGTTTAATACATTTTATGCCTTTTGTTACCGGGGGCAAACTGAGGACAAGACTTTCTTAAGCTTTAGTTAACTTAGTTACAAAATGTCACTCTTAACCACTTCAAGATCAGCAGTGGGGTGACTTTGTGGCATTGTGGCACAGCTGGCATCCCACATTTGTTCCCATCCCAGCTGTTCCCACTTCCAGTCAGCTCTCTGTTAATGCACCTGGAAAAGCAGTAGCAGATAACCCAAGTGCTTGGGCCCCTGCACTCCACATGGGAGACCTGGGTGGAGTTCCAGGCTTTGGCGTGGCTTAGCTTCGGCTGTTGTGGCCATTGGGGGAGTGAACCAGGGGATGGAAAATCTGTCTCTGTCTCTCTCCATTTCTCTGTAACTCTGCCTTTCAAATAAATCTTAAAAAACTCAAAAAGATCAGTAAGAACTGCAGCCCTGTTTCCTAGCTTTAGAAGAGAAGGTTGCAACACCTGCGTACAAGATCAGTGTGTGTTTGCTTGAGTGTCCTGGAGTGTATAGGTTGTGCTGAGGGGAGCTGTCACTCTTAGCTGATTTGCAGCATCTAGGCTCAAGAGAATGGGAAGGGGGGACAATCTGTATTCTTATGTTATTGGCATTACCTTTAAATTTCTAATATCTTGCTTCTCTTTAGGAAAGATAAAACATGGAGGGAGACAGAGTAGCTGATGAGTTACAGAAAAATATGATACAGGTAAGTAAGAGGTAATAATCCTGCAAAAGATGATTTCCATCTCTGCAGCTCTCCTTCTGGGTGCTCCTCCTCCTAACTGTTTCTAATTTGGGCCCACAGTGAACGTTTTGAGCTTTCTAGGGCATACAGTTTCCATTGCAACTCACCGCTGTCATTGTAATGCAAAAGCAACTGTGGATGGTACAGAAACAAGTGCTTGCTTGTGTTCCAATAAGATCTTTTTCACACAAACAGCTAGCAGGCTTGATTTAGCCTGTGCACCATCGTTTGCCAACCCCTGGCCTAGAATGCGAGAAAGTACGGCCAGGTTTGTGGTGGCTTCTGAGCCTCTCAGGTTTGTGAGGGGGAAAAAAAGGGAAAAGTTCCCATTCCGTGTGTGTGTGTGTCTGTGTGTGAATGTGAATATTTTTATTTATTTTTTATTCTAGAGGCAGAGAGTGCTCCCATCTGTTGGTTTATTCTCCCCACATTTTTATGATGTCTAAGACTGGGTGCAGGGCTGGAGCCAGCAACTGATAACTCAATCCAGATCTCCCACATGTATGGTAGGATCCCACCTGCTGCCTCCCTGGCTCTGTGTTGGCAGGAAGCTGAGGTGGGAGCGAAAGCTGGGAATCAAATTTCGGCATCTTGATAGGATTATGGATATCTTAACTACTGGCCCAGATGCTTCCCAGCCCTTCCCTCTGCAAGAGTGATTTTATTCATCAAAACTTCATTTAGATTTGATCCTGTGTTTCCTATTATGCTGACTGCTCTAAAGGGAATAAGATAGCTGGTAAATTTTTTTTCTAAAACAAAGAACTGAGGGATCAATAGGGGAGTTATTTCATTTCTAGAGTCTTTCTCTCAGAAGTATAGGTGACAATGTACTGTTTGCAATATTTGTCTGAAGTGGGAAGTACTTTGTGGGACCTGACTCTATTGCCAGCTAGACAGGATCAGAAGCTGAATTGCATTGGAGGATACCTAGCTGATGAGAATGTCTGTGTTGTGGCTATCCACCCTACCCAATCCACTACACACACATCTGGCATTAGAAATATCCTGGGTCGGCGCCGCGGCTCACTAGGCTAATCCTCCGCTTGCAGCACCAGCACACCGGGTTCTAGTCCCGGTCGGGGCGCCAGATTCTGTCCCGGTTGTCCCTCTTCCAGGCCAGCTCTCTGCTGTGGCCAGGGAGTGCAGTGGAGGATGGCCCAAGTGCTTGGGCCCTGCACCCCATGGGAGAGCAGGATAAGCACCTGGCTCCTGCCATCAGATCAGTGCGGTGCACCGGCCGCGGCGGCCATTGGAGGGTGAACCAACGGCAAAAGGAAGACCTTTCTCTCTGTCTCTCTGTCCACTCTGCCTGTCAAAAATAAAAAATAGAAATATCCTGTGTCGGTGCTGGCATTGTGCCACAATGGGTTAAGCTTGCTGCTTGCAAAGCTGGCATCCCACATGAGTGCTGGTTCAGGTCCCAGCTGCACCTAGGAAAGCAGCAGAAGATGGCCCAAGTGCTTGGGCCCCAGCCACCTATACTGGAGACCTCGATAGTGACCCAGGCTTCTGGATTAGGTCTGGCCCAGCTATGGCTGTTGTGGCCATTTGGGGAGTGAACCAGTGCATGGAAGACCCCCCTCCCTATGCTCCCCATCTTTCACTGTAACAGCCTTTCAAATAAACAAATCTTAAAAAAAAGAAGTGTTCTGTGTTAGAACAGGCATTTGGTGTAGTGGTCAAGATGCTACTTGGGATTCCTGCATCCCATATCAAAGTGCTTGGGTTGAAGTCCCAGCTTTGCTTCCAGTACCGGCTTTCTGCTAATGTGCACCTTAGGAAGCAGCAGCGATGGCTCGTGTACTTGGGTCCCTGCCACCCACACAGGAGACCTAGATTGAATTCTGGGCTCCTGGTTTCAACCTGGCCAGCCATTGTAATTAGGAGGGGAGCAAATTAGTAGATGGGAGATCTCCTTTTCTCTCTGTCTCTGTTTCCCTGCCTGTCAGATTTCTTTAATGAGGAAAAAAGTGTTCTTTGCTGTATTGTCTGTGCAAGAGTAGAAAAAACCAAGTGAATGCACATGTGGGAAAAATAAACACCTTGGTTTTTCCTATCTAATTACCATCAAACTACAGAGAAAATTTTAGTATTTTAGAGTGTTGAATCTGAAGTGAACAGTGTTTAAGTTGACAATTGGGGTGCTACCACCTTTGCCAGTGCTTGGGATCAAGTTCTGCCTCTGCTTCAGATCCAACTTCCTGCTAATGCACCTGGGGGCAACAGATGATGTCCCAAGTACTTGGGTTCCTGCCATCCACATGGGAGAACCACATAGAGTTCTGATTCCTGGTCTTGGCCTGACCCAGCCATGACTGTCATGGGCATTTGGGGAGTGAACCAGTGGATGGAAGGTTTGTTTCCCTCTGTCACTTTGCCTTTCGAAATGAATGAATGAATAAAACTTAAAAAGTTTAAAAATCTGAGACAGGATTGGCTCACCTGGGAGTATGTGTGAACAGAAAGGGAAAGGGATCTGACAGCTGAGTCTCAGAGTAGATGCATGGAGACTCTAGAATCTTCTACAAATTGACGCTCAGTTCCCCAGTGTTGTCAACCTCACCCATCCTTTTGTACACGTGAGAGGAACTGCACTTTTCTTAGTCTATTTTGTGGGATGTTTCAGGACTGTGTGGTCTTTGAGGATGTAGCTGTGTACTTTACCCAGGAGGAGTGGGCTTTGCTGGACCTTGCTCAGAGGACCCTCTACCGAGATGTGATGCTGGAAAACTTCCAGAACCTGGCCTCACTAGGTAAGAATAGCAGCATTTTTCTCATGTAGCTGTTTAGAAAGTCATGTTGTCCTAAGTACTTCGCCTTGTTCTAGAAGGATTTGGGTTACAGAATGGGAATACATTGGTAAATGATACCAACATGCTCACTGGTCCCAAAGAGCTTGCAGTCTAGTGACTTCACCGTGAAAATAAACATCTGTGTATTGAACTGGCCTTTCTTTTTTCTTGTGACTGAAAGCCTTGAGGCTTGTTAAGTGTGGAAAGTGTGGTGCAGACTCTAGGGACTGCTTTGGGGCATGTAGAGGAGGTTTGTGGTTTGAGGGCTTCTGAGGATTTTACTGCTGACAAGTGCCCTTTACCCAAAGACTAGCAGGAGCACATGTGCTTAACTAAATGGACTTGGAGATGGGATGCCAGCAATGCAAAGGGTGGGTGGCTTACCCTGCTATACCACAGTGCTGGTTCCCCCCGCTATCTTCTAGTTTTCTAGGTTTGTATATGACGTTCAGGTATGTGGCTCATTTTGAGTTAATTTTTGTGAAGGCTGTAGGCTCATTTTCATGCTGTGGATGCCCAGTTGGTCCAGCACCATTTGTGGAAATGGACTGTCCTTTATTCATTGTATTGCTGTTGCTCCCTTGCCAAAGATCAGCTGAGTCTATAGTCATCCCTTGGTATCCATGGGGATTAGTTCTAGGACCCCCTGTGAATGCTGAACTCTGTGGCTGCTCAAATCCTATAGGTAAAACGGTGTAGTGTTTGCATAGAATATATCCTCCAGTATACTTTAAATCACCTCTACATTATTTATAATTCCTAATACAACATAAATAAATAGTTGTAAATAGTTGTTGAATTGTTTAGGGAATAAAGGCAGAGACAATGGTCTGTACATGTTCAGTATAGATAGAGTATTTTTCCTGGATATTTTCTATCCACAGTTGGTTGAATCCACAAATGTGAAACCCATGGTTATTTTTATTTATTTGAGAGGCAGAGTGACAGAGGTAGGTAAGTAGGTAGATATAGTCCATCCCCTGGTTTACTTCCCAAATGCCCACAACAGCTTGGGTTGGGGCAGGCCAAAGCCAAGAGCCCAGAATTCCATCTAGTTCCCCCATATGGATAGTAGGAATCCAAGTACTTGGCCATCTTCTACTGCCTCTTTATTTTATTTTTTATTTTTTTGACAGGCAGAGAAGACAGTGAGAGAGAGAGAGAGAGAGAGAAAGAGAGAGAGCGAGAGAAAGGTCTTCCTTTTTCCGTTGGTTCACCTCCCAAGTGGCCGCTACGGCTGGTGTGTTGCGGCCATGCTGTGCTGATCCAAAGCCAGGAGCCAGGTGCTTCTCCTGGTCTCCCATGTGGGTGCAGGGCCCAAGTACTTGGGCCATCCTCCACTCCCCTCCCTAGCCACAGCAGAGAGCTGGACTGGAAGAGGAGCAACTGGGACAGAATCCGGTGCCCCAACCGGGACTAGAACCCGGAGTACCGGTGCCTCAGGTGGAGGATTAGCCTAGTGAGCCACGGCGCTGGCCCTACTGCCTCTTAAGAAGCTGGGTTGTAAATGGATATTACACTGAAACCCAGGAACTCTGATATAGATAGGAGCGTCTTCAGTGCAGCTTAACCCACTGTGCCACACAGGCAGTCACCTTAGATGTTGACAGAAAGTGGAGGCAGTTCTATTATTGAGTATTTTTTGGGTGGCATAGTACCTTTTGTTTGGTCTGTCCTTAAACAAAAAATCACAAAGTGGCCTTGTTCTGTTATATTTTATTGTGATCTCGGAGCCCCTTTGTTCCAAGTTGGCATTCCATGAGGTTGTCTATGTTTGGTGGGAGAACAAATATCAAATTAGCTGGTAATATTGAAATTTAGTTATGAATGTCAGATCAGTTTCGGATGTCAGAGGCTACTTCTGCCCACCCCGGGACACATGCTTTTTCTTTTTAAAACAAATTTGAAATTTCACTGCTATTAAACTCACATCTGTCATCTTTGGGATACCAGAAAATCCATTTTGGTCCTGTCTTATGGAAATGTTTGTGGTTCTGTGTTATTCTCCCTCAGGATACCTGCTGCACACACCTCACCTCATTTCCCAGTGGGAACAAGAGGACCTGCAGACAGCAAAGGGAGGACTTACCCAGGACATCTGTACGGCAGAGTACCAGGAAGGCAAGAATCCTCGGGATAGATGGTCCTTATTACGGGCAAAAATAAAAATAAAATTAAAATCAAATAAAAACAAAAACACAACCTTGTTTTATCTAAGGAGGCTGATCTTCCACAGATGACTATCTTCCTTGTTCTTGGCAAAGGCCTCCCATATCCCGTATTTCCTTTTTGTAAGTTAGTATTTAGCCATGTGCATTTAACCTAATTCTTTTCTGTTTTTTTCTTCTAAGACTAGTCTACTTGTTTTTCCATCTGTCTCAATCTTCATAAAATTATTTCTTAATTACATTTTTAAATACTTATTTCATTTTTAATTTATCTCAAAGGCAGAGAGAGAGAGAGAGAGAGAGAGAGAGAGAGATCAATTGATTTTCTGTATGCTGGTTCACTTTCCAAAGGCCAGGACTGGACCAGGCCAAAGGCAACAGCCTGGAACTCCATCCAGATCTCCCACCTGGATGGCAGGAACCCTAGCCCTTGGGCCATCACTGCTGTCTCCTAGCATGTGCATTAACAGGAAGCTGGAATGAGGAGCAGAGCTGGGACTCGAACATAGGCACTCTGATATGAGATATGGGTGTCCCAAACCATAGCTTAACTGCTGTGCCAACTGCTGCTCCTATTTCTCAGTTAAATGCTTACCATTTTGACCCTCGTGCCTGTTGACACCAAAATCTTGAGATAGCCACACTGCTCAAAGTCCTTGGTCCACAGATGCCTTCACTTTTTTGTTTCAGGTTTTGAGACCAAATCTAAAACTAATGAACCAATTGCTCCACAAGACATTAATGGAGAAAAAGTATCTCATGAACAGAAAATTCTAAGATTCAAAAGGAATGATTCCTGGTCCTCCATTTTATGTGAAAACTTGGAATACCATGATACTGATCAACAGAGCAAAAGCCATGAGAGACATTTGAGGTGAGTGATGCTCAAATAAGAGAAAGTAGTATCTCAGGAGAGAATCTTAAAATATCGTAAGATTTAAGAAACATTGTGATTTCACAGAGAATTTTGCCAAGGTGGTTTCTCCTACAAATGAGACTGAGTTATTGGATACTTGACATACACTTCAGGTGTAAACAATTATCAGAAAAATCCCGTAAGTCCAAAACTCAGTGACAGTATTGGCTACGGTAGGGCCTTCTCTGAGAACTTTCAGCTTATAACTAGATAGGGCAGACAACAGATTCACCGAGAATGGTACAAACTTATTACTAATAGAGTGCTTTTTGTTGTTAAGTCCTGTGGTGGAGAACATCTCTGAACGTAATGAAGAAAGTCAGCGTGGACACACCTTGAGCCACATTCCAAACCTCAAGAGAACTACTGAGGTGAAACCCTGTGAACGCCGTGAGTGTGGAAGGGCCTTGGGGGACCAGCCATCGCTTAGGACGCACAGCAAGTCTGACACCGGAAGCAAACCCTATGAGTGTAAGGCGTGTGGGAAAGCCTTCCATTTTCTTGCCTGTTTTAGGAAGCACATGAGAACTCCCAATGAAGAGAAGCCCTACGAATGTAAGGAATGCACCAAAGCCTTCAGCTGCTCCTCGCTCTTCAGGGCACACATGAAGCTTCACACCGGAAAGACCAACCATGAATGCCAGGACTGCGGGAAAGCTTTTAGCTGTGCCTCTTCCCTCACAGAACACAAAAGAACTCACAGCGGAGATAAGCCCTACGAGTGCAAGGACTGTGGGAAGGCCTTCACTTGTTCCTCCTCTCTCTCCAAACACAAAAGAATTCACAGTGGCGATAAGCCCTACGAGTGCAAGGACTGTGGGAAGGCCTTCAGTTCCTCCTCGCACCTCATCATACACCTCCGAATCCACACAGGAGAGAAGCCGTACGAGTGTAAAGAGTGTGGGAAGGCCTTCAGCGAGTCCTCTAAACTCACCGTCCACCTGAGAACACACACCGGGGAGAAACCCTATAAGTGTAAGGAGTGCGGGAAAGCTTACAACTGCCCCTCCTCCCTAAGTATCCACATGAGGAAACACACCGGAGAGAAACCCTACGAGTGTCTAGAATGTGGGAAAGCCTTCTACCTCCCCACTTCCCTTAACACACATGTGAAAAATCAAAGCAGAGAGAAGCCCTATGAGTGCAAGGCTTGTGGGAGGGCCTTCAGCTGTCCTTCGGCCTTCAGAGTGCACGTGCGTGATCACGCTGGGAAGAGCCAGTATGAATGTAAGGAGTGCGGGAAGACCTTCAATCGCTCCTCTTCCCTCACCGAACACCTGAGAACGCACAGTGGAGAGAAGCCTTATGAATGCAAGGAATGCGGGAAAGCCTTCATCAGCTCCTCCCACCTTACGGTGCATATAAGGACGCACACTGGAGAGAAACCTTACGCGTGTAAGAAATGTGGGAAAGCCTTTATTTACCCCTCAGCCCTTAGGATCCACATGAGAACGCACACTGGGGAAAAGCCCTACGAATGTAAGCACTGCGGGAAGGCCTTCCGTCACTCTTCGTACCTCACGGTGCATGCAAGGATGCACACTGGAGAGAAGCCCTTTGAATGCCTGGAGTGTGGGAAGGCCTTCAGTTGTCCCTCCTCCTTCCGAAGACATGTGAGAAGCCACACTGGAGAGAAGCCGTACGAATGCAAGGAGTGTGGCAAAGCCTTTGTGTGCCCGGCCTACTTTCGGAGACATGTGAAAACTCACGCTAGAGAAAACACATGAATGTAAGGAACACAGGAACCTGCAAGGCTTCTTCAGATCCTGGGCAGATTCCCTGCAAATGTGTGAATACAGGAGATTGTCTTTTGTGAAGACCCGAGGACATCTGAAAGAAACTTCTGTGTGGTGAAGCCTGTGTGGATATCACTTCTGTGTATAAGAAAATTCACAAGAGAAATGAAGATCAATGCCTCATCATTAACATGAACTGCTGGGCCTTTGATTTCTGATACTTTGATGGGAACATTTAAGGTGATGCACTTAGCCATATGTTTTTTAGTATGCAGTACATTTATTTTGGTTCAGATAGAAATATTTCCATTTCAAAGTCTTTTTGATCCACGGGGTATTTGAAGTATATGTATTTTTTCATGTGCACACACACGAGTAATCTTTTTTAGACAGACTTATCTCTAATGAATGCCCTTTGGTCTCTAAGTGTCTAGTCATTATGGTATTGATACTTTGGTTTCTGTTGTTGTTTTGGTATAGCAAGGCAGATACTGGAAAGTGCTCCATATTTTTCCATTTCTTTTTTGTAACTAACAGAGACTAAAAGTTTTGAGAATATCAGTTTTTACCATTAAGAGTTGAATTCTAGTAAATAATCCCAACAGCAATTAATAATAGGTAGATCTTGAAAGAGAATGATCTTATGTGATATACTATTTTTATATTTTGTACTTTGCTTTTGCTCATGGCTAGGATTTGGACCCAACGTTTTGAGTTTAAAAACTGTATTAACTTGGATATGGCTAGGAACTACATTTCTCAGAATTCTTTTTCTGGTTCCAGGTTAGAATTGTCTAAAACAAGAATTTGCATAAGATTTGGAAGGCATAAAAGAAGCCATTATTTTCCACTTAGTGGGCCAGACAGACAGATGCACAGGGACCCTGTGGACTCCAATTTTCAGCTCATTTTCCTGATTATTAAACTGATCGATACTTGATCAAAACTCTATATAAAGTGATTGACTTCAGTTTCCTCAGCTGCGTAGAAAATCCGTAAGCTCCTCTGTTGAAGTCACACACTGCTTCTTGGCCTTTGTGACAAGTTCTGGTGTCATTTTGCTGATGTTGCAGCCTTGATTTGTGTTGGTCTTGGTTTGGAGCAGTATTGTTATGTCCACAGTTCAGTCCTGTTATGTCTCTGTACTCATGGAAAAAATACACATCTACCAAAGCTACTGTGATCTCAAAGGCGAGAGGTCTGGCTACCTACAGGTAGCTGGGATAAGCATCAGGCAGGATGTCATTCCATGTTAATGGAGAAAGATTTATATTTGACATCTTCAAGCAGGGAATAGTTTTTTGATTTTTAATCTGAGAAGATAAACAGTATGAATTACTTCAGGTACATTTGACCACTTTTTTGTGTGTCTATTGTATCCTCTTTTTATCTTTAAAAGTATATGATACTTCCCCTTAGTCACATTTTACTGTTTTTTTTTTGTTTGTTTTTATTTGAACCAGCACCCATATGGAATGCTGGCATTGCAGGTGGAGGCTTAACCTAGCCACAGTGCTGACCCCTAATAGGCATGAAGTATGCTAATCTTCAGTGTAAAGCTTGCTGGAATTTCACATAGATATACACCCTGGTAAACCCATTTCTAAGGCTGCAGAAAGTTCATTCATTCCCCCTCTCAATAATTAGTCCACAGAGATAACCATAGTTTTGAGTTATTACAACTGATTAGGCTTGCTTATTATTGATTTTTAAAAATGTTAGACTATAACAGTTTTGTACTTGTCTTTTGTTCAACATAATGTCAAAGCGTAGTTTGCTTTTTAAAAAAATTTGAAAGGCAGAGTTAGACATAGGGAAATAGAGTATGATCTTCCATTTGCTTGTTCACTCCCCAAATCGATGCAACAACCAGGCTGGACCAGACTGAAGCCAGGAGCCTGGAACTCCATCAGGGTCTCCCACATGAGTGGCAGGGGCCCAAGCTAATGGTTGCTTTCCCAGATGCATTAGCGGGTTAGAAGTGGAGCAGCCAGGACTCAGTACTGGTGCTCTTTTGGGATGCCAGTATTGGGTGGCAGCTTAACCTGCTGTGCCACAGTGCTGACACCTAGTTTGCTTTTTAAATGTCCTGTTGGTAGAATTCTGACACTTCTCCCAGTATATGCTGTATAGAAGGAATGAAGTTAATGACTCATAAGGGTTGACTTTATGCTTTGTTTTGATGGGTATTCTAGTTTTTCAAATTGTTGATTCCACCAAAGATTCTCAAAACAGTGCATGAATGTTTTAGTTGTTCTACACTTTCTAATTTTGACTATTTAGCAGAGAGTATAGTGATATTTTCCTTGCGTTTAATTTGCAGTGATATGTAATGATTTTGTAAGCTTCTTGACTATTAGGATGTCTTCTTTTATGAGGGTACCTATTAACCACTTCATCCATTTTTCATATCCTTTTCTTTAGTTGAAGGGTTTCCTTCTGATCACTTATCCTTTATTGGATGTATGAGTATCTGTATATCTAGATACATATGCATATATAAAAATCTATATTATATATAAAATATAATTCATATATTATATATAAAATATAATTTGTATATTACATATATATTATAGATAACTTTTCACAGTCTTTGACTTCTCTTTTCAATATTTTTATAAGCCATAGGGGACCGTATTGGTTTGATCACTAAATAGCCCTTGGCTTTTTTAATTAGCTGCAGGTATGTCTGGATCCTGGGGTTGAAAAGATTCCTTGGATGAGCTCTGCCCCCATATTTTGACTATGCAGGAGGCTGCATTAGTCTTTCTTTTTTAAAGATTTATTTACTTGAAAGAGTTATAGAGAAAGAGAGGCAGAGAAAGAGAGGGAGGAAGGGAGGGAGAGAGAGAGAGAGAGAGGGAAAGAGAGAATGAAAATGAATGAATCTTTTATCTACTGGTTCACTTTCTAAATGGCAGCAACAGCCAGGGCTGGACCAGGCCAAAGCCTGGAACAACGTCCTGGTCTCCTACATAGGAGGCAGGGGCCCAAGTTCTTGGGTCATCTTCCACTGCTTTTCCCAGGCCATTCATAGGGAGCTGGATCAGAATTGGAGCAGCCAGGACTTTAACTGGCTCCCATATAGTTTGCCAGTGTTGCAGGTAGTGGCTTAACCTGCTGTACCACAATGCCAACCTCATGCATTAGCTCTTCTTCCAGGCAGTCTGAGTGTTTGTAGTGGGCCTCAAAAGTTCTAGGCTACTTTCTTCCCAGGTTAAAGTCTCAGGGACAAAAGACTATTATTTAAGATTTATTTATTTGAAAGGCAGAGTGACACACACACACAGATCCTTCCATCTGCTGGTTCACTCCCCAAATGCCCACAATAGTCCCCAGCTGGGGCTGGACCTCAGCATCAGAAACTCAATCCAAGTTTCCCACATGGATAGCAGGGACCCAGCCACCTGAGCCACCATTGCTGCCACCCAGAATGTGGTAGGCAGGAAGCTGGAGTCAGGAATGGAGCTAGTATTGAACCAGGCACTGCTTTATGGAACATGGATATCTTAACTGGCATCCTGACTGCTAGGCCAGACACCCACCTTGAATAGTTTTTTGTAGGATGTGAGGGTTAAAGTGTGTATATATATGGATTTATTAGATAATCTCTGCCTCTTGGTTCATTTGTCTTTCCTTGCACCAACCCTATACTCTCAATTTTTGTTACTTTGTAGTATTTTTTGGAAATCTGGTGTTGATAGCCAATTTCAAAAAACCTAGGGGCTGGCGCTGGGGCACAGTAGGTAGAACCACTACCTGCAGTGCTGGCATCCCATATGGGCGCCAGTTTGAGTCCCAGCTGCTCCACTTCCGATCCAGCTCTCTGCTGTGGCCTGGGAAAGCAGTGGAAGATGGCCCAAGTCCTTCAGCTCCTGCACCCATGTGGGAGACCTAGAGGAAGCTCCTGGCTCCTGGCTTTGGATTGGCACAGCTCTGGCCATTGCAGCCAATTGGGGAGTGAACCAGCAGATGGAAGACCTCTCTCTCTCTGCCTCTCCTTCTCTCTGTGTAACTCTGACTTTCAAATAAATTGTTTAAAAAATAAATTAACCTTTAAAAATATAATACATTAAATTATATATATTTACAGGGACCATATGATTCTTGATACATATATGTAATAGTTGATTTTATCCTGATTCAAACATTGTTTTTAATCTTTAAGATTATCCTGTCTTCTCTACTGTTTTGTTTTGGAATTTTTTTTTTTTTTTTTTGACAGGCAGAGTTAGTGAGACAGACAGAGATAGGTCTTCCTTCTGTTGGTTCACCCCTCAAGTGGCTGCTGCGGCTGGCGCACTGTGCCGATCTGAAGCCAGGAGCCAGGTGCTTCCTCCTGGTCTCCCATGTGGGTTCAGGGCCCAAGCACTTGGGCCATCCTCCACTGCCTTCCCGGGCCACAGCAGAGAGCTGGACTGGAAGAGGAGCAACCGGGACAGAATCCGGTGCCCCAACCAGGACTAGAATCTGGGGTGCTGGCACCTCAGGCAGAGGATTAGCCTAGTGAGCCACAGCGCCAGCCTGGAGTCTTTATTTTTAGAAATAAATCTTTAGGGACTGTGCTTAGAATTGTTTTAACTTTATACAGTACCTTGAGGAAAATCAACATCTTTACAATATTGAGTCTTGCAATTGATGCAGATAGTACAATCTTCTGTTTACCTACATCTTTAACTTTTTGCAACCATGTTTTATAGTTATAATTTTAGAGATTTGAATACCTTTCATTTATTTCTGGATATATGGTATATTTTGCTACATATTTTTTCATTTTTGGTGTTAATATGTAAATTGCAGTATCTTTATACATTACCCTTACATCCACTGACATTTATAAATTCAACTATTTATTCAACTTGTGGGTTATTTTGGATTTTCTATATATATATAGTCTTGTCAATACCAATAAGAGAGTCTTACCTACTTTGTAAACTTTTATCTTATATTTATTTTTCTTGCTTTATTTCTTTACAGTAAGGAATGATAAAGATGAACATCTTTGCTTTGTTCTGGATTAAACCATTTCTGACATTCTAGCCTGTTAGTCTTTTCATTTTGCTAGATTCAGTGTGCTACTTAAAAAATTATTTCTGGGGTAGTCATTTGGCCTAGAGATTAAGACACTTGCTCCCCATCCAAGTGCCTGGTCAGTACTTGGCTATGGGTCCCGACTCCAGCTTCTGGCTCATGCAGACATGGGGAGACTGCAAATGACAGCTCAAGTGATTTGGCTTCCATCAGTGATGTAGGAGACTCAGGTTGATGTCCTGGCTCTGACTTCAGCCTCCTAGCCATTGTCGGTCTTTGAAGTGAACCAACAGATGGAAGATCTGTTTCCCAGTCCCTCTGTTTCTCAAAGAAATAAATACAAAGATAATGAGATTTGAACAACAAAAAGAATGAATACTCTTACACTGTCTCCAGCCTTTCTGTAGTAAAGAGTGCTAGAAACATCCTGATCACTCCCCTTTGTTTCTTTCCCCATTATTTCATTGAATACTTGGAAGTAGAATTGTTGGGTCAATGGAAGGTATTAGAACATCTCTGCTAATATAAATATGGTAGAACTTGTGTGCAGGTCTGTGGGAAGGTACGAGATCATGCATGTCAGGGCTGGTTGGTGCTGTGATGCAGTGGGTTAAAACCCTGCTTGTGATGCCAGCACAACACTTTCATGGTCTCTTCCTCACTCACTGTGTCATTCTGCCTTTTAGGTAAATAAATCTTAAAAAAAAAAAAAAAGGAAAAAAAAAGGGCTATGTGTGGTTTACTAGCCCCCATGGGATGCCCAACTTCTGGTCCAAATTCCAAAGGAATAGAAGAGATTTATTTATTTATTTTAAGATTTATTTTATTTGAAAGAGTTCCAGAGAGAGGTAGAGACAGGGAGAGAGGTCTTCCATCTGCTGGTTCACTCCCCACATGGCCGCAATGGCCGGAGCTGAGCTGATCTGATGCCAGGAGCCAGGAGCTTTTTCTAGGTCTCCCACGCGGGTGCATGGGCCCAAGGACTTGGGCCATCCACTACTGCTTTCCCAGGCCACATCAGAGAGCTGGATCGGTAGAGGAGCAGCCAGGTCTTGAACCGGTGCCCATATTGGATGCCAGCGCTTCAGGTCAGGGCGTTAACCAGCTGCACCACAAAGGCCGGGGCTTTAACCAGCTGTGCCACAGCGCTGGCCCCAGAAGATATTTAAATTAGTGCCTCTCAAACATGTATGCTGTCACAGAACCTGGAGCTCTTTTTAGATCTGTTTTTTTTTTTTTTCTAGTTTAGTTTTTGTAAGATGTCAAACATAATGAAAAATTGGGAAAAATTAGGCTAAGGGGTAGAAGTGTCCATATATAGAACATAATGAATTGAGGAAAATTTTAATGTACTCCAGAAGCCATGAAATGCATCACGAACAAATGGAAAGACTTTTTTTTTTTTTTTTTTTTTTGATTAGGCAGAGTTAGACAGTGAGAGAGAAAGAGAGAGAGAGAGAGGTCTTCCTTCTATTGGTTCACCCCCAAAATGGCCGCCACAGCCGGCGCACTGCACTGATCCAAAGCCAGGAACCAGGTGCTTCCTTCTGGTCTCCCATGCGGGTGCAGGGCCCAATCACTTGGGCCACAGCAGAGAGCTGGACTGGAAGAGGAGCAACTGGGATGAGAACCCGGCGCCCATATGGGATTCCGGCACAGCAGGCGGAGGATTAACCAAGTGAGCCATGGTGCCGGCCTTGAAAGTCTATTTTTAAGAGGAAAATTCAACATAAAGAAGTCAGTTCAACATAATTTATAATGTAATCTCAGCTATAAAAAATTAAACACACTGAATTTGGAATAGAAAACTTAAAGATCCAGATGGCATAAGAGTGTGATAATCATAACAGATGTTTTAAAAACATAAAGCTTGGGGCCAGCACTGTGGTGCAGTGGGCTAAAGCCTCAGCCTACAGCACTGGCATCCCATGTGGGCGCTGGTTCAAGTCCCGGCTGTTCCTCTTCCGATCCAGTTCTCTGCTATGGCCTGGGAAAGCAGTAGAAGATGGCCCTAGTGCTTGGGCCTCTGCATTCGTGTGGGAGACCCGGAGGAGGCTCCTGGCTCCTGGTTTCAGATTGGCACAGCTCCAGTTGTTGCAGCCAATTGGGGAGTGAACCAGTGGATGAAAGACCTCTCTCTCTCTCTCTCTCTCTCTCTCTCTGCTTCTCCCTTTCTCTCTGTGTAGCTCTTTCAAATAAAATGAATATTTTTAAAAAAAAGCTTGTGCAACTGAAATGGCATTGAAGCATAAAATAACCAGGTGAGGATTCTCCAAGAAGGCTTAATGGAGATGCCCAACATTTTTCTTCTTTTCCAGAGAAGAACCAAAATAGCAAGTAAATGACTGCAAGTTTAGGTGAGTGCCTACAGAACAGCATGGATGACACAGAAACACGCAGGACATGGAGACACGAGATGACAGCATAAAGAGAGGAGCAAAGTGCACTGGCAACCGAGACTCCAGCCCCCATGCTGAGGAATGAGTGAATGGGAGAGCCCCAGCAGACCTCTTTTCCAAGGATGCTGGATGTAGACAATCCTAGAAATCATCACAGCCTTGGAGCCTAGCAGGGGAACTACCTGGAGCATCCATGGTTCCCTTTGCTTCAGGGAAGGAACTCATATCCTATCCCCTTACCCTCTGGAGATGGTATTCCATCATATTTTAAAAATCTATTATGTAATGAAAAAGTAGAGAGACAGAGATCCTTTGTCTGTTTACTCTCCAAATGCCTGCAAAGCCAGGGCTGGATATGGCTGAAGCCAGGAGCCCAGAACTCAACCTGTGTCTTCTACATGGATGGCAGAAACCCAACTTGAGCCATCACTTGCTGATTGCAGGAAGCTGAAATCAGGAGTAGAACCAGGACTTGAACCCAGGTACTCTGATATGGGATGCAGGCGTTCCAAGTGGTGCCAAATGCCTGCCCCATGACACCATCTTGAGAAAGGAGCCACACTTGGAATCTGTACTGCTGTAGGAGATAGAAAACCCTTGTATATCCTCATCCCTGGGGATCCATAGTCACTCCACTGCACAGGCAAGAGGACTACAACCTTATAAACCTAGCTAGACCCAGCAGTGACAGTGACCAACATTTTAGCCTACGCAGTGTCCTGCACTACACTGGTCAGGTAGTTCAGCACAGCAAAGTGGGTCCTATTCCCAAAACCTTAAGAAGGAGTGATCACCTCTGTGGATACAGGACCATCTCCCCTACTTCCTCAACCCCCACCAGGGCAGTGCAAGCTCTGGTTTTGGTGGGTGTGAGCAGTGCTGCATGTTTGTCCCAAACTCCTGCCCAGCCATACTGTGGATCCTTCTGAGCCTGCCCTGGCTTTGAGGGGACTTCAACACCCCACTTTTGTCAGCATACAGATCACTGGAAAACAAGCATCAGAATTAAACTATACTATAGACCAAATGAGTCTTACAAAAATAGAACATTCCGTCCAATGGCAGCAGGATATACCCTCTTTCCACCAGCACATAGAATAGTCTTTAGGATAGGCCATTGATTAGGCCACAAAACAAATCCCAGCAAATTCAAAAAAATCAAAATCCTATCACATTATCCTCTCTGACCACAATGGAGTAAAACTAGAAATGGTCAGCCAAAGAGAAAATAACTCTAGAAGTTATCCAAATACATGGAAACGGAACAACTTGCTTCTGAATGAAAAAGTTAATAGCAGTAAGCACCTACACACCCCCACCCTCCCACACACAGACACATCAAATACACAACCTAACTGCATCCATCTTAAGGACCTAGAAAAGCAAGATACAACCAAACCCAAAGTTAGGAGGAAAGAAATAAACATCAGAGCAGAAATAAATAAAATAGAAACTAAAATAGAAAAGATTAATGAAGTAAAAAATTTGGTTTTTTTGAAAAGGTAAAACATATATCTTTAGCTAGAGTAAAACCAGAAAGCAGACTTCAATAAATAAAAGCAGAGATGGAAAAGGAGACATTACAAATGACACCACAGAAGTATAAAGAGCCATTACAGGCTATTATGAATGACTACACACCAACAAATTGGAAAACTTTGAAGAGGAGGACAAATTTCTACACCTGTAACTGACCAGGATTGAACAAAGAAAACCTGAAAGGACCAATAAAAAGTAGTGAGATGGAAGTGTAACAAGAAATCTCTGGACAAAGAAAAGCCCAGGACCAGATGGCTTCACTGCTGAATTCTAGCAAACTCTTAAGGAAGAACTAACACCAATTAATCTCAAAGTACTCCCAAGTAATCGAAAGGAAGGGAACCCTTACAAATGCATTCTATGAGGCTAGCATTACCTTGATTTCAAAACCAGTCAAGACACAACAGAAAAAAACTATAGGTCAATATCCTGACGAACATAGATGCAAAAATTCTCAGCTGTATACTAGCAACTGGCATCCAATACACACATCAACAAAAGTCCTTTAATATGCTTAAGTATGAGTTCTATCAGGGATTCAGATATATTCAGCCTATGCAAGTCAATAAGTGTAATATATCACATCAACAGAAAAAAGGGCAAAATTCATATGATCACCTCAGTAGACGCAGAGTGCATTTGGTAATATTCAGCATCCACTCGTGACTGAAAACCTTAAATTTTTTAAAAGGTTTACTTATTTATTTGAAAGAGTTACAGAGAGGAGAGAGGCGAGACATACAGAGAGAGGCGAGACAGACAGAGAGAGGCGAGACAGAGAGGCGAGACAGAGAGAGAGGCGAGACAGAGGTGAGACAGAGAGAGAGAGAGGCGAGACAGAGAGAGAGAGAGAGGCAAGACAGAGAGAGAGAGAGGCGAGACAGAGAGAGAGGCGAGACAGAGAGAGAGGCGAGACAGAGAGAGGTGAGACAGAGAGAGAGGCGAGACAGAGAGAGAGATGAGACAGAGAGAGAGGTCTTCCATCCGATGGTTCACCCCCCAGTTGGCAGGAACTGCTGGCTGGAGCTGTACTGATCTGAAGCCAGGAGCCAGGATCCAGGAGCTTTTTC